ATGCTTAACCATTATCTCTCTTAAAAATGCTACATAAATTGGTACAACTGTACAAGTTGGCCGCAGCTTTTTTTTCTGTTCTTTTTTTCATCATTGAAATCTTGGAAAGAGGGGAGAAAATGAGCTAGCTAAAAATAAAATGTGTAAACAAGGGTATCTCATCATCTGCAGGCTTTCTTGGTTGGGTAGTTTTGGTCATTTTCGAAAATTCCAGCACAGCTTGTTAAGTGATTGCGTATTCTAGTGTGTCCTTTTGCTATTTGATTTTGCAGATATCATAACAGCCTCGCTGATTCTCTTATTTCCTCTTGTAAAGTTTCACTGTTGTCTAAATTCCATCTAACTAAAGCTACCCAATGTACTGTATGATCGAACAGAAGCCCTTCAAATAAAGGACTAATTCATATCTTCCTAGAAGTATTCAATTTAGTTGAAAAAAAAATTCAGTTGAATATATACTCCTTTACCTTTCTCTCTCATTGCTACTATCTCCATCAATTTTTAGTTGTCACACTTGTACTTTCATGTAAAAATGAGGTTTAAGAAAAAGTTGAAAAGCACTACTAGTAGGTCTTTTAAAATTCCATATATCCCAAAAAAGGTGTAATAAATATTCATTAAAAGTGTATATGTATATATATATATATATATATTTATAGAAAGCATACATATAAGCGAAATAGGAAATGTAAAAAATGCTAGAAATGATATAAGACACTAACATAAAGAGCTATTGCTAATGATAAATAGCACAATTAAATATTGAGAGTCTCTAAATATTAGCATGCATCATAGGGGTATCAATAGAGCAACATAAAGACAGAAAGAGATTACTCTAAAACTTTCTTATCGCCTTAGGTAACCACCTCTATTTATACTATCCATTGCTAGTACAGGAGATCAAAATGCATGGCAATGTAGTGTCTCCCATCACAACAATACTAAGCCAAAGTTCAAATATGGTTCCTAATCCAAAAATGGATAAAAACATTCGTTTGCATTGCCAAAGCAATGCCTAAGCCGTCTAGCCTCACCCTAGGTGCTGTATTATGTATAAGATTAATTAGGGCAGACTTCCTTTTCCCTTTCCCCTCATTTCTTTTATTCAGGGACACAGGCAATCTACACCTAAATTATCTCTTCCGAGTTTTCCTTAGACCATAGCCCTTTGTGTAGGGCTCTATCTCTTTTCTCTTTTTCATATCTTCCTTGCCATTAGGCTTTTGTCCTTTATGGTTGAATTGGTTTCAATGAACAATTGTTGCTTAGCTATCCTAGCATCCTTGCACTCCTTATCACCAATCGAGGACTTTGCCACCAATGGAGAAGCCTTTTGTTGGTCAATATTTGAAGAAAACCTCTCTTTCAAGTTACTTTTCAAAAAAATTATTTCCTCAAACACCTAAGGCCCTTAATGCTTCTCAAGTTCTGCCCTTAGCCATGCTCCATAAGGCTTAGGAATCTTCACTCTTTCCTCCTTAAGTTTAAAACCAATCTCCTAATCAGATTTAACATGCCCATGCACCCACAAATAAAGTAATAGTCTGTTAATTGTTTGAACTTAATCTTTAGTCTCTTGGTTTATGTGGTTGAAAACTCTTAACATTCTTGAAATGTCTTAAAAGGGTACACACCTCTAAGAAAATTCTAACCGTTAAAGCCTTGGTGAAAGCCTCATCCGCCTCTAGAACCCTTTCCATAGAGCCTCTAAACCTTTGCCACACTTCGTCTGCATGACATCCACTAAGATGGCCAAAAATTTGAACCCAAAATGGAGACATCAAGAAGTTGTAGTTTTTAGGAACCAAAGACTTGTCAAAATGTCTTAAGATAATCAAGGAACAGCTAACATTACATGGCGATTTTTCTGTAGTATTCTATCCAAATCTTAATTATTTACAAATTGAAAAAAAAAAAAAAATGTTCTCTCCAATCTCTTTGACCTAAATGTTCAATCTTATTTTCCATGATGATGCAATTACGCTTTATAGGCAGATGAAATTAACCCTCTTATGGGTGTGTAACTTTCCTATCAAAACAAAGAGATTCAGATGTGAGAATTGAATTGCTCTAGGCACCTTGTAGGCAAAGCTTGGTTTACTTTTCTTTAGGGAGCTAGATCTACCAAAGAGTGAGATAAGATCCTCGACTTCCTTCATTGAAGAAGCCACCAACCTCTCGCAACTCTGTTTACTGCTCTAGTATGTCATTGTCACCTGGATGGAAAGGGAAGGCATGGGCTCAATTTGTGGCCCTTAATTGTGTACTGTTTTGGTGAGAAGGAGAAGAAAAAATGGGGCTCCAATCTGGAGAATAAAACTTAGGGAGAGAGCTTCACCTAACTCTAATTAGGTGGAGGAAAGGTCTAACATGAAAAAGTCCTCACTAAAAGCATTTAATAGATGTAAAATTGACATAAAACATTTAATGTTTTCGCAAAAGTAGAAAGTATGAAAAGTAAATAGAGAAATCGTTATTTAATAAGTATAATATATAGCTAGCTACCCTCATGCTCTTCTCTCTCTCTCTTTGGCCTCCATCCTCTTCCCTCACTTTCGTTTCTTCTTTCTTCCTAGTCATTACCACCTCTCCCCCTCTTGGTAGCTAGGAAGGATGAATAAGGTGGGATTGTCACCTAGGCTCTCTTGGTAAATTTCATTGGATTTTGCCTATTGTAGAGAATGAAGATAGCATGGATGTGAAACTAGCTCAATTTGACTGAGGCCATCGACAACATTGTTAGGGGTGAGGTCACTAACTAATCTTTCTTCCCTAGAAATGAAAGTTGGCATGCAATAAAAGATCTTTTGGTAGCTTTGGTTTCTTGTCAAGATAATCTTTCTATTTTGCTAGCTCTGTATTGGTACCCACAACAATTACTTTTGTAATTTCTAATAGTAGTTGACCCTTTTTACTTAATTATCCAAATTTAGCACTGGCAAAATCTTTTGTTATTAGTGGTGCTATAGAGGTAGTAGTATGTTTCTCATTTCCACATATTAATGTTACATAATAAGAGGTAACATACCTATATCTATTTGTCCTCATCATAGGTTAGATATATATATATATATATATATATTAATTTAGCATACATCAAGTTGTTTTTATGTTAATTTGTGCATACTTTATGACTAATGCTTTTCTAATTTGATTACAGACAAGTCATCAAAAGATTAGAAAATTAATGAGGAATTAATTTTTCACTAATTTTCTTAAAAAATCAAATCTTAATTAATAAGATCAGAACCAAACCTCCTTAGGCACAACTCCTATTAATAGAGCAAAAGCTATAAATATGCACTTATGTTTGCCAGTTATACACATCTTATGTTACGTAGTTTGGGCAAGTATACCTTTCTCTAAGTTTACTAATTACCCACATTTCACTTACCTTTGACACCATTACCCTATTCTAAATCAAGCCTAATTTAGTGATTGATGGATTCGACAACTTAATGGGTGGTCTTAATTTCTAATTGAAGAAGCCTAATTTGATCAAACCGTTAATACAATAAATCTTAGTGCATGGTTTGTCAAGTCATTTATATAGTCTTAAGACAATGAGTGCACCTTTCCATGTTAGATTGTCTTTGAGAATTCCTCAGATGGAACCCAACAAACACAAGTAGTGTGTTCTGTGAAAGGTTAGCCTGTCTAATCTAATGAAGCATGTAATTCAGGACACCATTTGCCATAAAACCATTTAACACATGTAACCGCTCTGTGAGTTTGTTTTAAATTTTGTAGGGACCCATGACGGGGCACATGGCCCGGACATGTCTTGTGCCTATTAGGACAAGATTAGGGAGGGTGCCCACTCAGTGTTGGGTCAACTAGGGCATATTTCCCCACCTAAAACACAGAAAGAAAACCTAAAGGTTAAAATCCAAATTTGGTCCCTCTACTTTAAAGAAAAGCTTTTGATCCATATACTTTAAAAAGTTCATTTTTGGTCCTTTATGTTTATTTTTTCTAGACCCTTTTTAATCCCTTGGATGAGTTTTTGATGATGTAGCATGTTAATTTACAGTTTTGCCTCATGTTAATTTACAGTTTTGCCTTATGTTCTCTTACAATTAATTAGGTGGAAATGCCAGGCTGTATAAATGATGACGTGTAAATTCCACCTTGTAAAAGTTGATAACGTGCACCATGAATTTAGGAAATAATTTTATGACAATATTTTTGTACCACCTTTTGGTATAACTTGACATATCATTTAAATTATTGGTTATTTTAATTATGTAAGATTCGTGATATTGAATGTATTCACTTCTTTAATGACATGTGAAAGTTGTATCAAAAGATGGTATAAAAAGGTTATCCCTATTACACTACCCATGAATTTATACTTGGGACTCACAATAAATTTATATTTGCAATGTTTAATTAAAATTTATGTTTTGAATATTCATGTTTAATTATAAATTAAACTATAATTAATTTTAATAGTTAAAAAATAAGGTTATAATAAAAAAATTAAGTGTCGATTACACAAAATTTACCTTTAATTAAATAAAACAAAAAACAAAAAAAGCCAAAAGTAGAAAAAATGAAGCAAAAATGATTAGAGATTTTTTTACATACAACTTTTACGCATTATTTTTATATATTATTTTTATATAAAATCTCAATCATTCATCTTATTATTTTAAGGATTGAAATTTATTTATATTTATTAAAATAATTAATTTTTTACTTTAAAGTCGTGATAAATTTTAATAATTTAAAATAAAAAAATAATTAAAATTTTATATAAATAAAATGTACAAAATTTTGTATGAGTAGATTTAGTTCAAAGAAATTCTTTCATATAGAAATATAATTCCAAATCAAATTCAAAACCAATTGCTCTTTGTATCAAAATCAAAATTAACAAATTTAAATTCATCTCCTCAAATCAAAAATAAAAAAACCTGGATTTCCTCTTCAAAATTCAATTGAAAAGGAGCGCCGTAAACTTATGCTATAAATTCCTCTACAAATTTAATCTCACTGCAAATTTGTTTTCATTAGTTTCACAGCACCATCGCCATATTGTACTAGTCTTCATCGCCATGCTTTGCCACTTGAAGTATGGTCTATTCATATTCTTTGCATTTTGGGTGGTTGCCATTTCGTGGTCCATCAATAAGTATTTACTGGAGGCAAAGGAAGTGCCAATTGAAGAAATGACCACTGTGTGGCAGGAGCACAAGAACTGGGGCAAGTCCTTTGTAGAAAAACAACATTGCAGCCCCGCCTTCCTTGACCTATAGCAGAATCACTGCAACCTTGCCTTCATTCTACCAATGCCCACGGCGACTAAATCTTGAAATCTAAGTTGAGCGACAGCCACAAAAAAACCCTAGATCCTGTACCCAAGTAGCCAAGCATGATGGTGAGGAACAAAGAAACAGAAAAACATGGAAAAAAAATAAAAGAAAGAGAACGATGAGAAAAAAAAACGTCGGCTTTTCTCGAAAATACCGGAAAAAGAGGGGAAATACCTGTAGATCTGAGTTCCTCGCTCAATCTCGTGTGATTTTGCAGTAAGATCTAGTGCAG